TTCCATGTAAATCTTGAAAGATAATAGGGCTTTACTTCCTCACCTCAACATTTTACTTTCCCTCTTGCCTCTATTAGCCCCACTGGCTTTTATATATGAAACATTATGAACCATACCACTTGTTAGCTAAACGTGTAAAACAAAAAAAAATGCTATTATATTCAATCATTCAAAATATTTTGATGACATCATATGGACCTGCATATGTGTTAATGTAAATTTTATATATATAACAAATACTATAAAAATTATAAAAATACTATAAAAACAAATATATAAAAACACTGAGAAAAGTAAGTTTGAGTATTTTGAGAGACTCAGATGTGTATAGTAAGGAGCACTGTTGGTGCTGTGGTCTAGCCATTGAGCTGCTAATCTCAAGGTCAGTTGTTTAAACCCAACAGCCACAGAAGAAATAGGAGCCTGTGGGTGCCTGTAGGGCTTTCATTTTGGAAACCCTATATAGAGTTGCTGTGAGTCAGAATAAACTCCATGGCACTCAGTTTGGTTTTCTTGTTTTTTATCAGTGTAATAAATCTTTTACTTCATTGCAAGTTATGAATAGAAAAGCATAGAGACTAAGGAGCCTCAGAAAACACACACGGATTGAGCATTTATTGCGCACTACATTGGGAACACAGTTTGGTTAAACAATGATAAGCAAAAAGAACCAGGCCCTTGCCTTACACAATAGAGCCCTGGTGGTACATTATATCACTTATTGAACTGCTAAGTGCAAGGTCAATAGTTCAAAAATACCAGCTGCTCTATATGATTTCTGCTCCTATAAAGATTTATAGCTTTAGACACTCAAAGGGGGCAATTCAACTTTGTCTTATACATCATATCAATTAGATACCAGTATCATTTTGTTTTGCTTTGTTTTTTTGACCTTATGGAGAGAGGCTCTGGCCCTACAGTAGTGAAGTGTTCTGTGCTAACCAAAAGCAAAGTAGTTTTGACCACTGGAGAAAAACATGGCAGCTCTCTGTAAAACAACAAATACATAGGAAATGCTATAGGGCAGTGTTCCTCTCTCCTACAGGATTACCATGAGTGGAATCAGCTGGAGGGCAATGGGGTTGGGTTGGATTGATTTAGGGAGTTTACAGACTGGGCAGTTAAATTAACGAGCAGGCAGTTGAAACACAGACTAATGTGTCTTCTGATAGGGTACAAGGTACTTAGTTAAGAATTAGAAAGGAGGCAGAAGTGGGCAAAGATTCTCAGGGAAAATGCATTAAAATTGAGACTTGAATATTAAATTGAATTTACCTAGGCAAAGGAGAAAGGTAAAGTTTGAGTGGAGAACAAGGAAAGAGAGAAAATATGTATTAGTCATCTTCAAATAACAAAGTAGCTAATCTGAGGCTGGGCAACAAGTGCTCAGAGGCTTGAGGAAGTAGAGAGGGACCAGTCCACAAAGGAGGTTAAGGTGTAGTGCAGAGGGAGGTTAAGGTGTAGTGCATTCTGAACCCACCATAGTGGATCGCTAGTACAGTGGGATGTGCTCGGTTTGAAAGAGAGAAGCGGTGGCAGGTGCTGTATCCAGGTAAGAAATTGTAACGTGTATAGTGGCACCTTAGAGGAAGATTTAGGGTATCAAATCAGTAAAGGGACCCTTATTTGAATGTGTTGGGAAGGACAAGGAAGGCATGAAAGATGACGCTTTTGCTCACATTCGTCATTAGGGAAAAGCCCTCAATAAGAGACAGTTTGGGGGAAGGTAGTGGTTTAGCTTTCTTTGAATATGACCCTTAATTATCTTTGGGGAATCTAGTGGATATTGGGTGGTAGACATACGTATGGGGTTTGGATATGGACCAGGGTCTGTGATTTCAAATTTTCTGATATATTAAATGATGATACTACCTATCCCAATGTTGTATGAATTAAATGAACAAATATAAAGCAATTCGGTGTTAATAGAGGCAAATGACATTAGAGTTTTTATGTGCAACATTCCTTAACTATTATTATTAGTGACGCTACCCTTTGGTTGGGCACTGTTATTCAGTTTCCTATTCAGTAGCCTGAGATTATTAAGAAAAGTATTGGAGGTAATATCACCTCCATAATTACTGGTGGTGTAGTAGTTACATGTGGGACTGCGATCCACATGGTTGGCAGTTCAAAACCACCAGCAGGTACATGGGAGAAAGACAGGGCTGTCTACTCCCGTAAACAGTTAAAGTCTCAGAAACCCTCAGAGTATCACAGTGACTCAGCATTGACTTGATGGCAGAGCGGTTTGGGTTATAGAATATCTATTCTTCCTTTTAGCTACTTCTTAAAGTAGCTCACTTCACTTTTAACTGCTATGTATGTTTGCTTTCCCCATCAGTAGATATCTCAGAATAGGCTTTTGGTTAATTGCTTTTTAACTTGTAATCCATTTCTATTGCTAGATAGGTCTCAAAAGTGTATTCAACTAATCTTTATTATTTTCAACTTCTCTCACTTCTGAAATATCTAGTATGGCTAGTCCGTAACTGATCTTGCAGTCGATGTCAAAGCATTATACTTTATACATTTATATTATAATGTCATATCTAATGTTTGATTTTCATATATCTATCTATATGTATTAATAAATATCTGTTTTAGATTCATATACCATCATTTCCATATTCATTTACTGGTATGTTTGAAAAGAACTTAAAGTCTTTCTATGCAGTCATGTACCAAACGTTGGAATTGCTTTGGCTGTGTGGTTTTTGGTCCAAGACATTTACAGCTTCAGTCACAGGACCTACTCAAATCGCATCTCGTTATTTACAGTTTTTTTCAATGACCTGTTGTCCATCACTGTTCCTCCAGTCCCAAGAAAGCTGCCTGGTCCATACTAAGTGCATTATACAGTTCGTGGAACTAAGAGAACAAATAGATGATGTGGTTTTTAATAGGCATACTCACTATCCTCACATTTTCTTTGTAATTCTCCAAATACTACGACTATATTTACATATTATATAGTCTGTGTATAAGATAAGGCTAGAATAATCAAAGAATATGTGTTTGGGGAGGAAAAACAGTTGAAATCTGAAGAATTCCAATGACAGGAATATTGAAGCTGATGGAATTCCAACAAAAACATGCCAGTTCGGTCCTGAATATCCAGCCAGGCATTTGAAGACCCCCTTCTTCAGCCTGGCAAATTTCCATTTCATCTTGTTATAAACAAATTTGAGCCTTCTATGGAATTGGGAGAGGAAAAAAGACATTGAGGTAATGATCAAAATCAAGCTAAGATCAACTCATATTATGTTAGATTGTCTACAGATTTTCTGATCCACCCCCAAGGGGAAACCTGTAGTCACGTGTTGGTCATTTCCAGATCAATTGTTGTCCCTTTGCTGCCTCTTGTTTATTGTCCTAATAGCTCTGCATAAACAGAACTCAATAATAATAGTTCTACTTTCAATATATGTAAACTGTAACATCATGTAAGTGAAATTCAATTTCAATGTCCATTGTTTTTCAATGTAATCAAATGATTCCCCCAAGACACACATACATACAAACAAGCAAATTAAAAACAAAATTTCTAATAATTTTAACACCTAATCA